CTGGCTGGGTCCCCCTCTGGCGACGGGGGTCCTGCCGAAATGTGAGGGGTGGGTGCGTGGCAGCGTCGGTGGGGTCCAGTGGGGTCGCGAAGGGTATACTGGGGTGTTTGGACCGGCGAGGGAGCACGCTGAGAGGAGGGAACAGGCCAAGGGGATCTGGGTGGCTTCAGGGCGGGCAAGGGTCCCAGAACTGGCAACCGCACAGTTAGAACCCTCAGGTCTCACGTGGCTCTGGGTCCCACCCACTGGGTTTGTAATGCAGACTTAGACCGGCCACTACGGTTCAGGCTGGTGCGGGGCGAGGGACGAACCCCCAATCCCTGGGGGTTCCGACTGGACAGTGGGAGGGCTCCTGAAGGCGGACTGACCCTGCCTGCGGGGATCTCCAAGGAGGGGCGTTGGGGGTGGGCCTGAAGTAAGGGCAATTGATGGAAAAGGCATCATTCTGGGGCGGACTGTGGGACGCTGGAGGAGGTGAGAGTAGGGGTTCTGGGAACAGGATTGAGGAAAGTCAGTCGCATTGGTATTAGATTCTGGGATCTTAGATCCAGGGAAAGGCGTTGAGCAGGGGAGAGCCATGAACTAATGGGAGGCTCCAGATCTTTGGAGATCTGTGAAGAGAGGACGCCAAGACCAGAGGCTGCTGGGAGCCAGGCGTGGGCAACATCCTTGACAGACCTCCAGCGCTTCAGGTGGAGGGAAGGATGCTTTTCTTTCTCCCTTCCCTCCATCATTCCGTCGTCCTTCCTGTCCTAAGTACTGGGACTGCAGTTTGAACCATGGTCCCCTCCCTGGGAGCTTTCGGAGGGTAATGGAGTCAGCGACCGAGAGCCCGGGGGTCTGGGAGGGCCCCTGACACCTGACTGGTTGGACTCCGGAAGGGCCTGGGAAAGAACCGTGCAGAGAGACAGGGTGGCCTTGAGCCAGCCAGGCCCACCAGGCCTTTCAGGCTGTGGAGCAGAGTTAGATGTTGACCTGGGCCTCCTGGAAGGACCTGGAGCAGAGATGATCTGAGATTGGCAGAGAGGTCCAGACTGGAGGTGCCCGTGCGCTTGGAGCGGTGGGTGGTTAAAATCCTGCCAGGGGATGGGGTCACAGAGGAGAGGGCAGAGGGAAGAGAAGGGCCAGCGGCCGAGCTCCGAGATTCTCAAGTTCAGAGCGCGGCTGGTGTGAAGTGCTGGGGGCGCGGGGAGGAGCGGAGGAGGGGTCCCAGGAGCAGGGGCGGGGCCGCGGAGAGGCCCAGCCCAGTAGGCCTGGAGGGGGCATGAGCTCCCCGCGCAGTTCGGTGCTGGGGGTGGTGCGCAGTAAGTGTAGGAGTCTGGTAAGATTTACAGACCAGAAAGATAGCGCCCCATCCTCGTTACTGAAAAAATATTTCTGGCCTCAGTTGAGAAGTCACAGGCCTAGAGAAACCACCTCATAGTCCATTATTTTAATGATGGATTTCTCAGCAGCCGCTCTGAATTACAGTGCTAGGCCCGGTATACATCACACTGGAGCTTTTCCTATTAAAGTTAGCTTATTTTTGCCTGATTAAAGGGTAATTTAATAATTAATTTTGATATTAAAGTTACCTTTATTTCATTTTAATTGCTAATTATAATATCATAGGACTAGAAGACAGCTCTCCTGAGCACATAATTTTACATAATTACATAATTACTGATAGCAAATCGGTATTTACTGCATTCAAGCAGGAAAACCCAGCTTTAGCTTCAGACTTACTGAAAACATTAATTCTAAAGCTTTTTTAAGTAAGTGTATAAAAACATGTTATGAATTGTTGTTTAAAGGTTGTTACACAGAATTTGGTGAGAAAATTCCTACTTAAAAAAAAAGTCAGTGTAAGAACAAAGAAAAAACTGAAGGAACAAAACAGCAGCAGAATCACAGAGCCCAAGAATGGACTAACAGTTACTACCAAAGGGAAAGGGACTGGGGAGGGTGGGGGGGAAGGGAGGGATAAGGGGGAAAAAGAAAGGGGGCATTACGATTAGCATGTATAATGTGGGGGGGGTGACATGGGGAGGGCTGCACAACACAGAGAAGACAAGTAGTGACTCTACAGCATCTTTCTACGCAGATGGACAGTGACTGTAATGGAGTTTGTTGGGGGGACTTGGTGAAGGGGGGAGNCAGACACTGAGTCCAGAGGACCAAGGTCATAGTGCATCCCCAGACGTCCGCATGTGCTCATAAACACAAAAACACCCACAGAGACAAGGCAGTCAACTCCACACGCCCCACTCACAGGCTCTCAGACATCTCGTTACACTCACATATGTGTCCACACTCAGGCATATCCACAGAAACACAGATGGCAAAACTTAGGCGCTTATGCTAGAAGCTCTTTCTTCCAAGCCTGGAAACAAAAAACATCAGATTCCTGAGGCTGACTTTTTGTCCTTGATCCAAGCCATGCATGAAGCTGAATACTTTTCGAGTTTTTTGTTATGTGAGCACAAATTTTAGCTTTTTGGAGCCTATTTGAGTTAGACTGACTGTATTTTTTTTTGTTTTTTATTTTTTTGTGGCTCCTAACCAGTCCTTCCTGGCTGATAGAGATGAATAAGACTTTTGCCAGGTGAAAAAGATTGAAAAAGGAGGCATTCCAAGTGGAAGACAGAGGCCTGGAGGTATGAGAGAGCATGGCCAGTACAGTAATGCTGGAAGCCGACTGAAGTCTGGCAGAGGGGTCTGAATTGAGTCTGAGCACTTGGGAGTCTAGTTAGTGGGAGCCATTCAATGTTCTTGATCAGGGGAGTTCCACACGCAGAACCCTCCAGCGGGAGACAGTACGTGAATGACAGAATGTTTATTCACCTGTGACTTGCGAGACAAGTGCAGGTGAGAAGACCAAGTCTCGGAGAGGCCGGCCACATAAGAGTCCCAGACACGCTCTTAACTCAACCTCGGTCTGAGCGCTAGAGCGTCTCCGAACTACAACTACCGGCATGCAGTGCTAGCGACCCCTTGTCCCTCGTGAGTCTGGCTTCAAGCTGGATGATTGGTGACACGGGCTGTTTGTCAGAACAGAGTCGGGCTCTGATTGGTGAAGTTCCCCCCGAGGTGCCCGGAGCCCCAGGCCCGTGGGACAGCGTACCTCGCTCGGTCCAGCTACATGGTGAGCCGGCGGCCCTCTGCATGAGGGGCCCTGAGAGGCCGGGGGTCCCGCCGAGGGGCTCCAGGGAGACACCGAGGGAACAGGAATCCCTCTGTGGGGATTGGGGGCTCTGAAGGACCCTGGGTTGCGCCGAGGCCCGTGTGTCCCTCTCTGGGGTCACAGTCGCGCTGCAAGACCTCTGTGGGGTCGTGGGTCGTGCTTAGGGGACCGAAAGGCCCTGAGAGTTCTGAGCTTCGGGCAAGTCTCTGGAGACCCTCTAGGGACCAGAGGTCTTGTCGAGGGGTCGTGGGCCTGGAGAGGGGCCTAGGGACCTGAGCACGTTCGGAGCCTTTCGAGGGAGGTCTGGAGTCTGGCTGGGTCCCCCTCTGGCGACGGGGGTCCTGCCGAAATGTGAGGGGTGGGTGCGTGGCAGCGTCGGTGGGGTCCAGTGGGGTCGCGAAGGGTATACTGGGGTGTTTGGACCGGCGAGGGAGCACGCTGAGAGGAGGGAACAGGCCAAGGGGATCTGGGTGGCTTCAGGGCGGGCAAGGGTCCCAGAACTGGCAACCGCACAGTTAGAACCCTCAGGTCTCACGTGGCTCTGGGTCCCACCCACTGGGTTTGTAATGCAGACTTAGACCAGCCACTACGGTTCAGGCTGGTGCGGGGCGAGGGACGAACCCCCAATCCCTGGGGGTTCCGACTGGACAGTGGGAGGGCTCCTGAAGGCGGACTGACCCTGCCTGCGGGGATCTCCAAGGAGGGGCGTTGGGGGTGGGCCTGAAGTAAGGGCAATTGATGGAAAAGGCATCATTCTGGGGCGGACTGTGGGACGCTGGAGGAGGTGAGAGTAGGGGTTCTGGGAACAGGATTGAGGAAAGTCAGTCGCATTGGTATTAGATTCTGGGATCTTAGATCCAGGGAAAGGCGTTGAGCAGGGGAGAGCCATGAACTAATGGGAGGCTCCAGATCTTTGGAGATCTGTGAAGAGAGGACGCCAAGACCAGAGGCTGCTGGGAGCCAGGCGTGGGCAACATCCTTGACAGACCTCCAGCGCTTCAGGTGGAGGGAAGGATGCTTTTCTTTCTCCCTTCCCTCCATCATTCCGTCGTCCTTCCTGTCCTAAGTACTGGGACTGCAGTTTGAACCATGGTCCCCTCCCTGGGAGCTTTCGGAGGGTAATGGAGTCAGCGACCGAGAGCCCGGGGGTCTGGGAGGGCCCCTGACACCTGACTGGTTGGACTCCGGAAGGGCCTGGGAAAGAACCGTGCAGAGAGACAGGGTGGCCTTGAGCCAGCCAGGCCCACCAGGCCTTTCAGGCTGTGGAGCAGAGTTAGATGTTGACCTGGGCCTCCTGGAAGGACCTGGAGCAGAGATGATCTGAGATTGGCAGAGAGGTCCAGACTGGAGGTGCCCGTGCGCTTGGAGCGGTGGGTGGTTAAAATCCTGCCAGGGGATGGGGTCACAGAGGAGAGGGCAGAGGGAAGAGAAGGGCCAGCGGCCGAGCTCGGAGATTCTCAAGTTCAGAGCGCGGCTGGTGTGAAGTGCTGGGGGCGCGGGGAGGAGCGGAGGAGGGGTCCCAGGAGCAGGGGCGGGGCCGCGGAGAGGCCCAGCCCAGTAGGCCTGGAGGGGGCATGAGCTCCCCGCGCAGTTCGGTGCTGGGGGTGGTGCGCAGTAAGTGTAGGAGTCTGGTAAGATTTACAGACCAGAAAGATAGCGCCCCATCCTCGTTACTGAAAAAATATTTCTGGCCTCAGTTGAGAAGTCACAGGCCTAGAGAAACCACCTCATAGTCCATTATTTTAATGATGGATTTCTCAGCAGCCGCTCTGAATTACAGTGCTAGGCCCGGTATACATCACACTGGAGCTTTTCCTATTAAAGTTAGCTTATTTTTGCCTGATTAAAGGGTAATTTAATAATTAATTTTGATATTAAAGTTACCTTTATTTCATTTTAATTGCTAATTATAATATCATAGGACTAGAAGACAGCTCTCCTGAGCACATAATTTTACATAATTACATAATTACTGATAGCAAATCGGTATTTACTGCATTCAAGCAGGAAAACCCAGCTTTAGCTTCAGACTTACTGAAAACATTAATTCTAAAGCTTTTTTAAGTAAGTGTATAAAAACATGTTATGAATTGTTGTTTAAAGGTTGTTACACAGAATTTGGTGAGAAAATTCCTACTTAAAAAAAAAGTCAGTGTAAGAACAAAGAAAAAACTGAAGGAACAAAACAGCAGCAGAATCACAGAGCCCAAGAATGGACTAACAGTTACTACCAAAGGGAAAGGGACTGGGGAGGGTGGGGGGGAAGGGAGGGA